ACTTCTTCGTTCGAACCTTTCCTCAATTTTCGTCGCAACGATTCACCTCAAATCAGACACCCCACCTTCGGGCCTTTCCGAGCCTCGTTATTGTCACACGCGAATCCCTAACCATTCGTTATTGTGATGTTTCCTAACGATACTCGGCACCGTGCCGTAGCATCGTCGCACGGCGCGATGGTCGTCCGCACGTCGTCGCACGGCGAAATCGTCGTCCGCGCGTCGTCGTGTGGCGAGATGGCCGTTCGCGTGCCGTCGCACGGCGATATCGTCGTCCCCGCGTCGTCGCAGCGAAATCGTCGTCCGCGTGTCGTCGCACAGCGCGACGGTCGTGCGCGCATGGCTCTCCATGCACTTCAAGCATGGCGGGATTCTCGTCCGCGCGTCCTCTGCATCTCCACGCGTGGCTCTGCTGCGGGCAGCGCGGCACCAGCTGGACGGCGAGAGGTGAGAGCGCGGAACCAGCTGGCGGGGGGGAGAGTAGGTCACTGTCTAGGTCGCCGCTGCACCTGGTAAGTGCGTCTCCAGTCTCGTCCGCTCTCTGCTCGAGTCTGTGTCTTTGCTCCTGCTGCTAACAAGTGCTTCTCTTGCCGCTTGTCTGCCCTTCCCCTGCTCCTTTAGGGGTGGGGGGGGTGGAGGGTGGGGGGGATATCCCCCGCCCCCCACTTCCCCCTTCCCCCCTCCCTGTCCCCCTCGCCTGCAGAAAATGGCATCTAGCGACAGCGGTGGCAGCAACAGTGGCCGCAGCAGCGCGCGCTGATGCGAGGGGGAGTATCTGGGGTGCGCTTGCCTGCAACAGGTGAGCCCCCTTCACACCCGCTGCTACACTTTCAGACTTCAGTCAGTCTTCTTTCCATCAGTTTGTTTTCTGCTTTCCATCAGTTTGCTTTCTGCTTTCCGTCAGTTTGTTTTCTGCTTTTCGTCAGTTTGCTTTCTGCTTTCCGTCAGTTTGCTTTCTGCTTTCCGTCAGTTTGCTTTCTGCTTTCCGTCAGTTTGCTTTCTGCTTTCCGTCATTTTGCTTTCTGCTTTCCGTCAGTTTGCTTTCTGCTTTCCGTCAGTTTGCTTTCTGCTTTCCGTCAGTTTGCTTTCTGCTTTCCGTCATTTTGCTTTCTGCTTTCCGTCAGTTTGTTTTCTGCTTTCTGTCCGTCTGTCCGCCCCGTCTCTCTCGCGCAGCGACATTCGGTGCACCTGTGGCTGAAGGGAGAGCAGGGGAGGGGAGGGGAGGGCCCCGCTCACAACCCACAGACCCCTCCCTACCTACTACAGGTAAACCCCCCCTCAGGTTCAACCTCTCAGGTCGGGGCTTGTGGCTTGTGTCCATGCCTCCACCAGTGGCCCCCTCCCTGCTTACTCTCCGCTTGCATTGCTTGCACGTCTCAATTTCTATGTGCCTTCCGCTCCCCCTTCCTCTCCCTGGACTTACCTCCTTGTGTCCACCTCTCCCCTCCCTTCCCCGACCCCCTCTCAAACTTCTTCCCTCCCCGTCCCCCAGCAGGGCCTCTGCTGGCGGATCTGCATGCGCCTGTGCATGTGCTGCTGCAGCGGCAGAGGGAGCAGCGGCAGCAGGCGAGCACTTGAGTGGTCACAAGGCCTCGAGCAAGCCACCAGCTAAGTACCCTCGACTCCCTGCACCCACCCTTGCCTTTCACAGCACGCCCTGCCCCTGTTTCTGTTTCTTTCAATCGTTTTCTTCCCTTCAAACCGGGCCACTGGTAGCACTTCAGTGAACAAGCCACAGACCCCCACCCTAAGTGCAGGTATTGCAGGTATATCCCTCTTTTTTTTCAGGTACAACCTTCAGGTTTAAACTTTAGGTATTTCAGGTACACCCTCGGACTCGGGTCAAGCCAAGCCCCGCCGTGGGTCTGTGGCTTCTAGCTGACGCTCTACCAGTGGCCCGCTCCCACCGCCCTCTCCCTTATGCGTTGCTTGCACTCTTCAGTTCTCTCATCTGCCTTCCCCTCTCGCCTGGACCTAACTACCTCTCCTCTCCCCTCCCCTCCCCTCCCCCCCACATCCCCTTCCGCTCCCCCTTCCCCGTCCCGCCTTCCCCCTCCCCCCTCTCCCTTCCCACCCCCCATCAGGGCTTCCGCTGGCGGATTAGCAAGCGCCAGTGCAGGGAGCAGAGGGATTGGAGGGAGTGGAGGGAGCAGGGCAGAGGACTCGAGCAAGCAACCAGCTAAGTACCCTCGAATTCTGCACCCACCCCTGCATTTCACAGCATGCCCCTGCTTCTGTTCCTGTTTCTGTTTCTGCCATTCGTTTGATTCCCTTCAAGCCGTGCCGCTGGTAGCAGTGCAGTGAACAAGCCACAGGCCCCTCCCCTCCTGACTGCAGGTTTTGCAGGTATACCTCCCTCGGATATTAGAGGTATACCCCCCTCAGGTATTTCAGGTACACCCCTCAGGTCAAGCCAAGCCCCCTCTTGGGTCTGTGGCTTCCAGCTGGGACTCTATCCGTGGCTCCCTCCTTTGGTGCTCTTTCTTCTGCATTGCCCATCTCGCTTCTCACCTGCTTGTGATTCTCTTCTCATCTTAACAACCTCCCATCCCCCCCCCCACGCACCCTCCTCTCCCCCCCCCCCCCCTCCATACCCCAGCAGGGCCTCTGCTGGCGGGTCTGCAAGCGCCTGTGCAGTGGCTGTCGTGACTGCAGGGGGAGGGGAGGGGCGTGAAGTGGGTGCTGGGAAGCGCTTGGAGTGGCGGGAAGCAGAGAGGGCTGGGGGTGCCAGCTGGGAGCACACAAGCAGCCACAGCAGATAAGTACACTCACACGCTCTCTCTCACATGCTCGACTTCTTTCACTCGCAGTCTTTGACTTTGTGCAGCACCCTCACATGCTTTCGCACCTCATCATTCCATATATGCTGCATACCTCCAAAAAACAAACCACTTGCAGCAGCCTAGCTCACATGGTGCAGACCCCCCCACCCACCCCTCCTCTCCCAGGTGCCCTCCCCCTCAGGTACTACCCCCCCCCTAGCCACTTACTAACTGCTCCACAGTCTTTTCCTTGCCGGTTGAGGGGAGGGGCGTGGGGGTCAACTCCGCCACTCCCCCGCACCTCTCCCCTTGTGGCCGTGCAGGTACATGCACACTGGGCGCCGGGAGGAATGCTGCCATGAGGGAGAGTATCTGGGGTGGGGTTGGCCTCTCAAGGTAAGCCCCTTTCCACCAGCCCCTCCTGCTGCCCGTTCAATGTCTTTCCAATCCTTGCATGCTTTGGCTTCTCTCTGTGCCTACCACTCTCTCGTGGATCTTACTTCCTCCTCGGATTTTCCTCTTCCCTCCCTCCGGCCCCCCCCGCCCCTACCCCCCCCCCCCCCTTCCTCCCCATGTCCCAGAGAGGCAGACCTGCAAGCGCCTGTGCTCTTGCTGCGGCAGAGGGCAGCAGCAGGGGGAGCAGCGTCAGCAGTGAGCGGTGGCTGGAGAAGGGGGAGGGGGAGGAGCAGGCAAACGCTCTGTGGCACAAGCAAGCAACCAGCTAAGTAGTCGCTACTCCCTGCCCGCCCCCACCTTTGTTTCTCAGTGCATGCCTTGCCCTTGCTTCTCTCATTCGTTTCATCCCTTCAAACCATGCCACTGGGAGCAGCGCAGCGAACAAGCCACAGACCCCACTAACTGCAGGTAATTCCCCAGGAGTTACAGGCATTATAACCCCCCAGGTATTACCCCAGGTATTTCAGGTATACCCCTCAGGTCAAGCCAACCCCCCCTTTGGGTCTGTGGCTTCTAGCTGAGACACTACTCTTAGTGCCCCGCTCCCTTCGTCCTGTCCTCTTTGCATTGCTGGCGCATCTCCCCTCACCTGCAGGACCTCTCTTCTCAACTTAACTGCGTGGCCCCTCCCTCCCCCTTCACCCCCCTCTCCTGCATCCCCCCCCCCCCTCTTCAGCAGGGCCTCTGCTGGCGGATCTGCAAGCGCCTGTGCAGTGGCTGCTGTGACTGCAGGGGGGGGGGGGTGGGGGAGAGGGGCGGAAAGTGGGTGCTGTGGGTGCTGGGAAGCGCTTGAGTTGCGGGAAGCAGAGAGGGCTGGGGGTGCCAGCTGGGAGAACACAAGCAGCCAAAGCAGATAAGTACAAACGCGCGTTCTCGCTCACAAGCTTTTGACTGCTGTCACTCGCCTTCTTTGACTTTGAGCAATACTCTCGCATGCGCTCACTCACACATGCCTTGGCACCTCATCATTCCATCCATGCTGCATGCCTCCTAAAACCGACCGAACCACTTGCAGCAGCCTAGCTCATATGGTGCAGACCCCCCCACCCCCCCTCCCCCAGGTATCCCCCCCCCTTCCCTTAAGCCTATCTAAATTACAAAAACTTGTGAAGTATCCCCTCTCCTGATACTATCGCCCCTGGGTCTGCACCACGTGCCTAGTGCTGCTCCAGTGGTCCCTCTGCTGCTGTCACGTGCCACCTCACCCATGCACACCTCTCACACTTCTACCCCTACCCGCTTACTAAGTTCTCTGCAGTTCTTTCCTTGCCGGTTGAGGGGAGGGGTGCGGGGGTCAGCAGCACCGCCACTCCCCCGCACCCGTCCCCTGTGGCCGTGCAGGTGCATGCACACGGGGCGCCGGGATGAATGCTGGCATGAGGGAGAGTATCTGGGGTGGGGTTGGCCTCTCATGGTAAGCTCCTCTCCACCAGCCCCGCGTACCGCTGCTAATGATGCCTGTTCACTGTCCTTCCAGTTTTTGCATGCTTTGGCTTTTTCCTTCTCCCAAAGGGGTTTGGCTGTTGAGAGTCCTGCACTAACTTGTTCTCTGTGTGCCTCCCGCTTCATCCCCCACCAGGTCACTTGGCATCAGATCAGATCACCTGAAGACCGTAGCAGAGGAAGCTGAGCAGCTCACAGCAGCTCACAGCAGCAGCAGCAGCAGCAGCAGCAGCAGTAGCAGCAGCAGCAGCAGTTGGGGTTTGGGGGTTAGCGGGCAGGCTAGGAGTAGGAGTGAGCGAGGTATGGTACCAGGTGAGGTATGGTCATCTCACCTCTCTGCTTCCTTGCTACAGCATGTGGATCAGGAGCCTTGGAGCAAGGGCAGGAGAATGGAGCATGGGCAAGGGAGCCCACCCCCCCTCTCAACGCCTCTCTTCTCTTCTCCCTCTCCCCTTCCCCCAGCAGCATCTCGCCTTGAAGGAATGAGAGTACAGCGCCAATCCTCACCCCCCCTCCCCCTCCTCAGCAGGTTGCAGCATCATGGTGCTCCATTCGGCTATGGGAGGTGGAGGTAAGGGGGTGTTGAGATATGGGGCAGGAGGGGGGAGGGGGTGGGGGGGAGGGGAAGCATAGGAGCAAGCATGCGGCTCACTCTCTCAGGGGCAGCACCCTCTGTGGTTCCTACCTTGTCGATCGGGTGTGGTCAGTGGAAAGTGTGTGGCACGGCAGTCGTTCCTCAAGTACCAACACTGGCGTATCGTATAATGGAACCGGTCAGAGCCGTGCGCGCCGGCTCTGGTTGGGAGTCCCCTCCTACGACGCTTTCGTACGCGGAATTTGAGTCTTGGGCTGCCCGTGCACTTTCCACTGCCACTGCTCGCCCCACAAGGCAGAGCCCTGGGGGGTGCTGTTTCCGAAGGGGAGTGGGTTGCATGCTGCTCCTAGTGCTGAGAGGGGGATGGGGGAGAGGGGGAAGGGGGCCTAGATAGGTGAACTGGAGAGGGGGAAGGGGGCCCACCATCGCACATCTTCACCCATCATCACACATCATCCCCCATCATCACCCATCATCACCCATCATCACCCATCACCCATCATCACCCATCTTCACCCATCATCCCCCTTCATCACCCATCTTAACCCATCATTCCCCATCATCACCCATCACCCATCATCACCCATCACCCATCACCCATCATCACCCATCACCCATCATCGCCCATCACGCATCATCACCCATCACCCATCACCCATCATCACCCATCACCCATCATCACCCATCATCACCCATCTTCACCCATCATTCCCCTTCATCACCCATCTTAACCCATCATTCCCCATCATCACCCATCACCCATCATCACCCATCACCCATCACCCATCATCACCCATCACCCATCATCGCCCATCACGCATCATCACCCATCACCCATCACCCATCACCCATCATCACCCATCATCACCCATCACCCATCACCCATCATCACCCATCACCCATCATCGCCCATCACGCATCATCACCCATCACCCATCACCCATCATCACCCATCTTCACCCATCATCCCCCTTCATCACCCATCATCCCCCTTCATCACCCATCTTAACCCATCATTCCCCATTATCACCCATCACCCATCACCCATCATCACCCATCACCCATCACCCATCATCACCCATCACCCATCATCGCCCATCACGCATCATCACCCATCACCCATCACCCATCATCACCCATCACCCATCATCACCCATCATCACCCATCATCACCCATCATCACCCATCTTCACCCATCATTCCCCTTCATCACCCATCTTAACCCATCATTCCCCATCATCACCCATCACCCATCATCACCCATCACCCATCACCCATCATCACCCATCACCCATCATCGCCCATCACGCATCATCACCCATCACCCATCACCCATCACCCATCATCACCCATCATCACCCATCACCCATCACCCATCATCACCCATCACCCATCATCGCCCATCACGCATCATCACCCATCACCCATCACCCATCATCACCCATCTTCACCCATCATCCCCCTTCATCACCCATCATCCCCCTTCATCACCCATCTTAACCCATCATTCCCCATTATCACCCATCACCCATCACCCATCATCACCCATCATCACCCATCATCACCCATCATCACCCATCATCACCCACCACCCATCATCACCCACCACCCATCATCACCCATCATCACCCATCATCACCCAGCATCACCCATCATCCCCCATCACCCATCATCACCCATCATCACCCATCTTCACCCATCATCACCCATCATCATCCATCATCACCCATCATCACCCATCATCCCCCATCAACCATCATCACCCATCACGCATCATCACCCATCACCCATCACCCATCATCACCCATCACCCATCATCACCCATCATCACCCATCTTCACCCATCATCCCCCTTCATCACCCATCTTAACCCATCATTCCCCATCATCACCCATCATCCCCCATCAACCATCATCACCCATCACGCATCATCACCCATCACCCATCACCCATCATCACCCATCAACCATCATCACCCATCACCCATCATTACCCACCACCCATCATCACCCATCATCACCCATCACCCATCATCACCCATCATCACCCAGCATCACCCATCATCCCCCATCACCCATCATCACCCATCACCCATCATCACCCATCATCACCCATCACCCATCACCCATCACCCATCACCCATCACCCATCATCACGCATCACCCATCATCACCCATCACCCATCACCCATCATCAACCATCATCACCCATCACCCATCATCAACCATCATCACCCATCACCCATCATCACCCATCACCCATCATCACCCATCATCACCCATCAACCATCATCACCCATCATCACCCATCAACCATCATCACCCATCACCCATCATCACCAATCACCCATCATCTCCCATCATCATCCATCACCCATCATCAACCATCATCAACCATCATCACCCATCATCACCCATCATCCCCCATCATCACCCATCACCCATCATCATCCATCATCACCCATCATCAACCATCATCAACCATCATCACCCATCACCCATCACCCATCATCACCCATCATCACCCATCTACCATCACCCATCACCCATCATCACGCATCACCCATCATCACCCATCACCCATCACCCATCATCACACATCACCCATCATCACCCATCATCACCCATCACCCATCATCACCCATCACCCATCACCCATCACCCATCACCCATCACCCATCACCCATCACCCATCATCACCCATCACCCATCATCACCCATCATCACCCATCATCACCCATCTTCACCCATCATCCCCCTTCATCACCCATCTTAACCCATCATTCCCCATCATCACCCATCACCCATCATCACCCACCACCCATCATCACCCACCACCCATCATCACCCATCATCACCCATCCCCCATCATCACCCAGCATCACCCATCATCCCCCATCAACCATCATCACCCATCACCCATCATCACCCACCACCCATCATCACCCACCACCCATCATCACCCATCCCCCATCATCACCCAGCATCACCCATCATCCCCCATCACCCATCATCACCCATCACCCATCATCACCCATCATCACCCATCACCCATCACCCATCACCCATCACCCATCACCCATCATCACGCATCACCCATCATCACCCATCACCCATCACCCATCATCAACCATCATCACCCATCACCCATCATCACCCATCACCCATCATCACCCATCATCACCCATCAACCATCATCACCCATCATCACCCATCAACCATCATCACCCATCACCCATCATCACCCATCACCCATCATCTCCCATCATCATCCATCACCCATCATCAACCATCATCAACCATCATCACCCATCATCACCCATCATCCCCCATCATCACCCATCATCATCCATCATCACCCATCATCAACCATCATCAACCATCATCACCCATCACCCATCATCACCCATCATCACCCATCACCCATCACCCATCACCCATCATCACGCATCACCCATCATCACCCATCACCCATCACCCATCATCACATATCACCCATCATCACCCATCATCACCCATCACCCATCATCATCACCCATCATCACCCATCAACCATCATCACCCATCATCACCCATCAACCATCATCACCCATCACCCATCATCACGCATCACCCATCACCCATCATCACTCATCATCACCCATCACCCATCACCCATCATCACCCATCATCACCCATCATCACCCATCATCACCCATCACCACCCATCATCACCCATCATCACCCATCATCACCCATCATCACCCATCATCACCCATCATCAACCATCATCAACCATCACCCATCACCCATCATCAACCATCATCAACCATCATCACCCATCACCCATCATCACCCATCACCCATCACCCATCATCACCCATCACACATCACCCATCATCACCCATCACCCATCACCCATCATCACCCATCACCCATCATCGCACATCACCCATCACCCATCACCCATCATCACCCATCACCCATCATCACCCATCACCCATCATCACCCATCACCCATCATCACCCATCACCCATCATCACCCATCACCATCACCCATCATCACCCATCACCCATCACCCATCATCACCCTTCACCCATCATCCATCATCACCCATCACCCATCATCACCCATCACCCATCACCCATCACCCATCATCACCCATCATCACCCATCATCACCCATCACCCATCATCACCCATCACCAATCACCCATCAACACCCATCATCACCCATCACCCATCTTCACCCATCATGACCCATCATCAGCCAGCACCCATCATCAGCCATAACCCATCATCCCCCATCATCACCCATCACCCATCATCACCCATCACCCATCATCACCCATCACCCATCATCACCCATCATCACCCATCATCACCCATCATCCATCATCAACCATCATCAACCATCATCACCCATCATCACCCATCACCCATCATCACCCATCACCCATCATCACCCATCACCCATCACCCATCACCCATCATCACCCATCACCCATCATCACCCATCATCACCCATCACCCATCACCCATCACCCATCATCACCCATCACCCGTCACCCATCATCCCCCATCATCACCCATCATCACCCATCATCCACCCATCACCAATCATCACCCATCATCACCCATCATCACCCATCACCCATCACCCATCATCACCCATCACCCATCATCACCCATCACCCATCATCACCCATCATACATCCACGCCCAACCAAACAGCCACGACCAAAAGATCTGATCACATGCGTTGATTCCCACTCTGCCTGCTGCCTTGGGATGTCGGAGGCAGCCGACGCGCGCTGTGTGTATCGATGCCCTCCTGGTGCTTACCCACTCTGCTCCACCCCTTGCTCAGAACTAAATTGCAGGGTCATCGCTTCGGTTGGGTTGGGTTGGGTTAGGTTGGGTTGGGTGGAGCTGGTTGGTAGAAGTGGCAGGAGAAGACACCTGGATGCGGCAAATGCAGAGGCAATCACTCCAAGGGGAAGCCCTTTTAGTTAGCTTGGAAGGAACACCAGCATTGGTGTAAGAATATCCATTGACCTTCAGCACGAGTCTAGATTTTGTGGTTTGATGTATTTCGGATAAGGCTAAATATAACTTTGAGACCAAGTTCAAATCATGTCCATGCATGGCTGTATCAGGGCCCAAAATTGGTTTTAGGCGACCCTTAGGAATAAGCGTACCAGAAAAACATTGCCCTTACAGAAAGGGTTAGAACCAGGGTATCAGGGTTATTTTACCCTGATTCCCTGATTTCACAGGGTATTTTTTTGGCCAACCCTTAATTTTCAGGGTTGGGTTTTTTTTAACCCTAACCTCTTCAGGGTTGTATGTTTGTGAACACTGAAAATTTCAGGATTTGCGTTATCCCAACACTGAGTTTTCAGGGAGTAACGCGTACGAACCCTGAATGCGACATCCATGCGGACCCTGAGTTTCCTCGAAATGGCCCCCTTACGCGTGACGGGGCCCAGTCCATTGAACACGCCCAGCTTGCGTCACGTGGGGAATCTGCACTCGGCAAGATTCCCGCCGTACACGCTGTATGTTGTCATTACAGCAACATTTGCAACCGTCAACTGGCATTCGTGACTCAGGGTATCAGCAGCAGACGAGGACAGAATATGATGAGCGCGGCAATGTCAGCCTCTGTATGACATCACCCCGCCAATCATCGCTGTGCAGACGATGCCAGCGCAGGTGCGTCTCGCCGTTGACGTTATTGCCATGGCGATACGGGAACCTGGATGGGTTATGCACCATCCATGAAAATCGAAAGATGGTGCTTCTTGGTCCTCTTCCCGTCTTCTTCACCAGCTCCTCCTCCAATCCAGTTTTTTTCTGTTCTTCATGTCACAGCTACGAGATGCTCCAGTCCTCTGTCTCCTCTAGTTTCGTCGCGCCGATTTCTCATTTCCATCATATCCGCCGCTTCTAGCCATGGCGGATGGAGGAGACTCTGGTGAGTCTCCCACTGCCGATGATGGTTCTGGACTAGGTAGGGACCCCCCCGTGGAGGTCCGTAGATCCGCTCTAGACATCTTGCGGTCTCCCACCGCAGTCGTTACACCATCACAGCCCGTATCTACTCCCGCCGCTCCCTATGTACCTCCGCCCGCTGTCGCCTCATCTAGCCGGGGCCCTTTGGTTCCAGACTGCGAGACAGCCACGACCGTGCGTTACACGGTCGAGTGTGCGTCGACGATTTCATCTGGGAAGAAAGCACGCGTCGGGAAGTACACCCAGAGCACGATAGTCCTCGGCGGGAAGCTACATCGACGGTCGCCGCCTCGCACGTCGCCTGAACCTCAGGCCCCTGGTATTCCAGAACCCGAGCCGCCGAATCTCTCAAAGAAGGAACTCATCGAGCAGAAGTATCTCATGGCTGAGCACAAGTATAAGACCAGCTGGCTTCCATTTTTCCCTTGGCTTCTGCTAACGAAAACGAAAGACGGTTACCCTGCTTTGAAGTGCAGTGTGTGCAAGGCTTTCGGCAAAGAGACAACACCGTACTCCAACAGCCGCGACGGGGCACGTGACCTGCAGACGCAAGCGATGCGGTTCCACGAACACACGACAACCCACGAAGTAGCAGTCAAGCGTCAGATGGAGATCGCCGAAGACATCGCCAGCACCCAGAGACGCATGGAGAATTACGCGCGGACTGACATCGAGGGGAAGCGTGTCATGAGGCTCCTACGCTGCGTCGACTTCCTGTGCAAGTGTGATGCACCCATCAGCATGTACCCGAGGCTACTCTGCTTCATGGCCGAGCAGGAGACACCGGACATTCCGCTGCAGTCTTACGGAGTCTACCTGACACGGTAATGCACTTATTCGAAGTACACCATGTTCTTTATTTTTCATAAAGGTCTAACCAACACCCTGCTGTCACTTCTGCTACTACAGGTATGGCTTCTGTCAGCTCGTCAGCAGCCTGGCAACCTACCTGCAGCGCCGACAAATGCAATACATTCTCGCCTCACCCTACCTCGGCATCAGCTGCGACGAGAGCACTGACCGTACTCGCGGTAAACATCTTATTGTTTATCTGACCTTCTTGCGTGCGCATCGTGTTGTCACAGAGTTTTTTGCTCTCCTGACCGTCGAAAAGTGCGATGCCGCGTCTCTCCTCGCCGTTCTTCTGGCTCACTTGCGAGCAACTGGCATCGACCTCTCCCGAATCACCGGCATGAGCACCGACGGCGCCTCTGTCATGGTCGGCCGAGACAATGGTCTCGTCGCCCGACTTCGCGAGCACATCCCCCACCTCGTCTCGTCGCACTGCATCGCCCACAGGTTTAACCGCTTGTCATTTCAGTCGCTTAGAGTTCCTACAACTGCTTGTCTAAAATTCCTTCGTGTGCACCATGCAGGGAAGCCTTGGCGGTGAAGGACGCGGCCACTGCTTCTCCAGACTTCGACATGGTCGACCTTGTGATTCAGACTCTGGCCGATCTTCTGGGACGTTCCTGTGTCTGGAGTCAACGCTTCAAGTACCTGCAGCGGGCAATACACAACACCAACCTTGAAGTGCAAGGAATTCACACCGTGCGCTGGCTTTCAAGGGGTGAGGCTGTGAGGCGCCTCTGTAAGGTCCTTGGTGCCGCGATCATTCTTTTTTATGAGTACGGGCATGAGCTGTATGAGGTCGTCATCTGTTACAAGTTCCAGTTCTGTCTTTTTTTCCTGGCGGACGTGCTCGGAGTGATGAATGAGCTCAACCTCAAATTCCAGAAGAGGGAGGTGAGCTTCTATCCCTGTTAATGTTGTAGTTTTTGTCCCATGCATCCACGTTTGGAATCACCCTCTGACTCCACTCCCTTGTCTGTCACTTCCATCAGGTCGATGTCACCGAAGTGACAAAGGACATCGACGAGGCGACAGGGGACCTCCGCCACCGCTACTTGGAGTGCGGAGAGGTGTTCGGTGGGGGTGTCGAAGGCACGTGGCTTTCGGCTTTCTTGGCGGTCTACGGGCGCGGAGGGGGCAAACGCGTAAAGGTGCGGGGCATCGACAAAGACGGCAACCCAATCACGCACACCTACACCATGCACGAGAAGCAGATCGATGGGCATGCCTTCCGCAGCAAGTACCCCGATTGCAAGCGGCTCTGCGCGCAGTTCGCGAAGGACACGATAAGCTTCCTGAAGACGAGGATGCTGGACCTGAACAATCTCGGCCCGACGAAGCTCTTCCGCGTGTCGAAGTGGCCCCGGATGAAGCAGCAGAGAGAGAAGAAGCTGAAGGAGTACCTACATGGCTGCAGTGCCTTGTTCGACAACAGGCTGAGAGGCTTTTCCTTGCAAGCTGCGCAGAAGGAGCTGGTCACGTGGGCGCCACTGATGCTGAGCCACCATGCCGACGAGGGATTCCATCAAGGCCTGACGAACTACCTCGGCTCGACGGAGTCGACCTTGTGAGAGAGTGCTGCTCGAAGGACGATTGTTGCATTTTTTTTTTGCGCTTTTATTCTTCCCTTTGGATGCTGTTTATCGATTGTTGACTAGCATCGCTAATGCACTGGTCTTGTTCCGTGTACTCTATTCCCCCAACCCTTTTGGCAGTCGCTGGCCCAACCTCATGCGCTTGTGGCAGGCGTGCGCTGTCCTGCCGCTGAGCACAGTGGAGTGTGAACGAGGCTTCTCGCGGCAGAACGTCGTCAAGTCATGGGTGCGGGGCGCGTTGTGCAATGCGCGCCTCAGCGAGCTGATGGTCATTTCCCTGCTGCAGTACGAGACTGACTGGGACGAGGCCCTTGAGTGTTGGCGCGAGAAGCTGAGGCGCCCTGCTAAGTCTGTTCTGTTTGCCGCAGCGGAGAGGAAGCGTAAGGCGAAGGCGATTGAGGGGGCAGAAGTGAGGGTGGAGGAGGAGGCAGTCCCCGACTACATGGGGGATTGGGCAGAGGATGAGGGAGAGGGGGAGGGGGGAGTGGGGGGAGAGGCTCCTCCTGAAGTGGAAGACAACCCGTTTCTGTCCGATGACGAGGCAGAAGACGAAGTGAACATGGATGGCCCAGAATTTTAGTCAAGTGTAGGTAGTGGCGTGGAATCTTGTGAAGTCTAGACTAGATAGAGGACTTGTAAACTGGCGTGGCGTAGTGGTGCTTTTACTTAACTAGTAACTGTACATTCCTAGTTGATTTTTTCCAAGTGCAATGCAACCCTGATTGTTGATAGCCAACCCTGGAGATTTCAGGGTTGTAGGTTTCAGAACACTGAGAAATCAGGGAAGTCAAAATTCCAACACTTGGCCCTCAGGGTAAATTTTTTTCCACATTCGACAGCTCAGGGTGCTATTTTTTGAAACGTCAGCCCTGGTTAGAACTATCGTACCCTGACAAAATCAGGGTGTTTTGGGGAAAAACTATCAATACCCTGATGCTGTCAGGGTGTTTTTTTTCTACACCCTGATTTTCCTTGTCAACATTTTCCTTGGGAGGGAGCATCGAGAGAGACAGGCAAGGAACAGCGACAGCGAGAGAAACTAGTAATTTTTTTCGCACACAAGTGCTGCTAGGTGACATGGTTTCCAGGCAAGTAACTTTTTGGCGAAGACCATTCAGAGGTCCGGCGGACGAGTCAGTGGGCCGACGGACCAGTCAGTGGACCGGCGGACCGATGCTGAGGATCAGCTGGGGGCAGCTGCCAGCCACCTCCTGACACCCATGGGCAGCTGCCTGGCACCTCCTGGCAGCTAGGGGCGGGTGCCAGGCACCTCCTGGCGGCTAGGGGCGGCTTCCAGGCACCTGCTGGCTGCAAAGGGCAGCTGCCAGGCACCTCCTGGTAGCTAGGTGCAGCTGGCAGGCACCTCCTGGCAGCTAGGGCGGCTCCCCGACACCTCGTGGCAGCTAGGGGTGCTGCCACGCACTTCCTGGACTGCTAGGCACCTCCTGGCAGCTGTGGTGAGCTGCCAGGAGCCTCCTGGCAGCTAGGGACAGCTGCCAGGCACCCCTTGGCGGCTAGGGTCAGCTGGCAGGCTCCCCCTGCCGGCTAGGGGCGGCTGCTAGGCACCCCCTGGCGGACTTGCGTATTTGGCGGACTTGCGTAGTTGGCGGACGTGCGTAGTTGGCGGACTTGGGTAGTTGGCGGACTTGGTTCGTTGGCGGACTTGGGTGGTTGGCGGACTTGGGTGGTTGGCGGACTTGCGTCGTTGGCGGACTTGGTTTGTTGGCGGACTTGGGTAGTTCGCGGACTTGGGTAGTTCGCGGACTTGCGTAGTTCGCGGACTTGCGTAGTTCGCGGACTTCCGTAACAGGCGGACTTGCGTAGCAGGCGGACTTGCGTAGCAGGCGGACTTGCGTAGCAGGCGGACTTGCGTAGCAGGCGGACTTGCGTAGAACGCGGACTTGCGTAGCAGGTGGACTTGGGTAGCAGGCGGACTTACGTAGGTGGCGGACTTGCGTAGGTGGCGGACTTGCGTAGGTGGCGGACTCGCGTAGTTGGTGGACTTGGGTAGTTGGCGGACTTGGTAAGTTGGCGGACTTGGTTAGTTGGCGGACTTGGGTAGTTGACGGAGCTGGGTAGTTGGCGGAGCTGGGTAGTTGGCGGACTTGGGTAGTTGGCGGACTTGCATGGTTGGCGGACTTGCGTTGTTGGCGTGGTTGCATAATAGGGGGGCGTGGTTGCATACTAGGGGGGTATGGTTGCAACTTGGGGGGCGTGTCTGCATACTAGCAGGGCGTGTTTGCATACTATGGGGACATGGTTGCATACTTGGGGGGAGTGGCTGCATACTATGGGGTTGTGTCTACATACTAGGGGGGGGTGTTTGCATACTAGTGGCATGATTTCATCCAAGGGGGGCGTCGTGCATACTAGGCATTTTTGCATACTAGGGGGGCATGTTTGCATTCTAAGGGGGCATGTTTGCATGCTAGGGGAGCAAGTTTGCATACTAGGGGGGCATGTTTGCATACTAGGGGGGCATGTTTGCATGCTGGGGGCGCATGGTTGCATCAAATGGGGGCGTGGTTGAATACCCCTTTCGTCCCAACAGTCACCCTGGTGTAATGAGTTGACTTTTGAGTCGACTAAAAAATCGACTCATTACACACGTATCCAACAACCTCTCGCATCACCCTCACCTCGCCTCTCTCTCACACGCACGAGGTGGGATGGGTGTGCGTGCTGGCTTTTGCGCAACCACCATCAGGGTCACTCACCCCTCTCCCACATGCATGAGACGAGATCGGTGACGGATGCCTCTGGGTGGTTGGGCGATCTTGGGTGGTTGGGTGATCTTTGGAGGTTGGGCGATCTTGGGTGGTTGGGCGATCTTGGGTGGTTGTGCGATCTTGCGTGATTGTGCGATCTTGCGTGGTTGGGTGATCTTGGGTGGTTGGGCGATCTTGGGTGGTTGGGCAAAGTTTGGAGGTTGGGCGATCTTGGGTGGTTGGGCGATCTTGGGTGGTTGGGCGATCTTGTGTGGTTGGACGATCTTGGGTGGTTGGGCGATCTTGGGTGGTTGGGCGATCTTGGTGCTTGGGCGATCTTGGGTGCTTGGGCGATCTTGGGTGGATGGGCGATCTTGGGTGGCTGGACGATCTTGGGTGGTTGGGCGATCTTGTGTGCTTGGGCGATCTTGGATACTTGGACAATCTTGGGTGGTTGGGTGCTTGGGTGGTTGGGCGGTCTTGGGTGGTTGGGCGACTTTTGGTGGTTGGACGATCATGGGTGCTTGGGCGATCTTGGGTGCTTGGGCGATCTTGGGTGCATGGGCGATCTTGGGTGGTTGGGTGAGCTTGGGTGGTTGGGCGATCTTGGGTGGTTGGGCGATCTTGGAAGGTTGGGCAATCTTGGGAAGTTGGGCGATCTTGGGTGGTTGGGCGATCTTGGGTGCTTGGGCGATCTTGGGTGCTTGGGAGATCTTGGGTGGTTGGGCGATCTTGGGTGGTTGGGCGATCTTGGGAGCTTGGGCGGTCTTGGGTGGTTGGGTGATCTTGGGTGGTTGGGTGATCTTGCGAGCTTGGGCGATCTTGGGTGGTTGGGCGATTTTGGGTGGTCGGGCGGTCTTGGGTGGTTGGGCGACCTTGGGTGCTTGGACGAACTTGGGTGGTTGGGCGATCTTGGGGGGTTGGGCGATCCTGGGTGGGTGCTGTTAGAGATAGGCTGCAATTCGGTTGGCACAATTTTGTGTGTTGACACTTTCTTGGTTTTAGGGATACTCATATTTGTTAGGTTGGGTGTAGCTATGTTTTCATCCCCAACCTATCCCAACCCAATCCATCCCAAATCCCCACGATTTGGGAGGATTCCCTTGGGATTCCCTCCGATTCTCCCTTATCCCTTCCCATCCTCTCCGATGCTCGGTACTTAAGGATGTATGCTCTTGCTCATTTCAATCAATCAAGTTCTCAGTTTCTGATATGGTATCAGAGCTCGTTTCCGCCTAAGCGGCTCTTGATCCTCTCGCTCCGTTGGAGCCTAGCATTTGCGTCTTACGACGCAAAGCTTTTCTAGTCGCCTCAACTCAGCGCGGCGCTTCTTTTCGGGCTGAAGCCCGTCGCCCCGCATCTGCTCGTCACACCTGATCGGGCTGAGCCCGTCGCCCCGCATCTGCTCGTCGTACCTGATCGGGCTGAGCCCGTCGCCCCGCATCTGCTCGTCGCACCTGATCGGGCTGAGCCCGTCGCCCCGCATCTGCTCGTCGCACCTGATCGGGCTGAGCCCGTCGCCCTGCATCTGCTCGTCGCACCTGATCGGGCTGAGCCCGTCGCCCCGCATCTGCTCGTCGAAGCTGGACGGGCTGTCGCCCGTCGCCCTTGCAACAGCGGGGGGTGCAGCGGCGAAGCGGAAAGGGGGCAGCGGCGAAGCGGAAAAGGGGGGGTCGCGGAGCAGCGGGATTGCAGCAGCACATCGCGGGTTTCCATAGATTTTTGGCGTTCAGATTTCCCTCTTTATCGGCTATTCCTCTTCTCCGAGTGTTGAAAATCCGCAAAGGGAAACCCTGTTTTTCGCGGAGCCCGCGCTGCGCGCAGGTCGTTTAAGTCGCCGAAGTGCCTATCGGCGACTTAAGAGCTGCGCTACGCGCGGAGAAAGGGTCCTTGGAGCATCATGGCGTATCCTTCCGCGTCTCTCTCAAACCCGATCACTCCCTTGCGCCTCGACCCAAATGGCTCGAGCCCGAACTTCAAGGAGTGGAGCTATGGGGTTGATAAGCATCTCCTAAGCCGCAAAATTTAGGGGATTTGCCTCAAGGATGTCCTCCTCAATCGCGGCAAAGGAAAGATGCCGATCCTTCCCAAGAAGCTCTCGGCCACAGCCACAGGGGAAGAGTTAAAAACCCATGAGGAATCCATGTCCAAGTATGAGGAATCTTACAGCGTGTGGGAGCAAGCCGACGCCGCTATCATTGGCGTCTTCGTCGGCACTACCCCTTCCGAGCTCGTCAAAACTTACCATAACTACCCCTCCGCGCACGCCATCTGGGAGTACCTCAACGACCGCTTCCTCAACAAAACCGCTGTGGGGGTGGCGATCCTCATCCCCCGCATGTTTCAAGTGCGTCTGGAGGAGTGCCCTGGAATGGCAGATTACGTCGCTGAAATTCAAGGGATTCATCAGGAGCTGAAGCAACTCGGCATTGTCTTCCCAGAGCAAGCCCCTGCAGCAGCTCTGCTTGTTGGGCTGACCCCCTCTTACAATGTCACCCGCTCCATGCTTCTCCATCTCCCGCCAGAAGAGCTAACCTTTGCCAAAGTCTCTTCCGCACTTCTCTCTGCTGAAAAAGACAACACTGCGCAGGCTCGTGCAAATGCGCTTCGCGCTCCTGTCCCGGCTCCAGCATCGCGTCCCAATCCGCCACCCACTCGTAACCGCTACCCACCCTGTCCTTACGTCATCAAAATGGGACCCCGTGCGGGTCAGGTGTGCGGCGGCACCAATCACCCGCTCGCCACCTGTTTCAAAAAGAAGGACGACGACTGGTTCGCCAAGAATGGTATCAACTCCAAGCCGCCCAACTGGCTTCGCATGCGCCAGCTCAACCAGGTTGAGGCACAGGATAGTCAGGACTCAGCCGTTCATGCCCCTAGTCCTGATGTTCGTCTCAACCTGTTGTTCCCTGGCCTTCCCATGATCAATGAAACCAGTTCCCAGTACTCGACGTCTCCACAAACACCATCTAAACCGCTTGAATTCGTCCTGGACAGTGGCGCAACCCACACAGTCCTCCGAGACAAAGAGTCTTTCAAACCATACCAAGCACCCATTCCTCTTCTGGGCGCTGACTCCAGCTTCACAACTGTCGCCCATGGTTCCTCCACTCTTCCATGCCCAGCCTTCCCATCTGGCACAGTCACTGGCATATGCGTGCCCACTCTTCGGCACAATTTACTTGCACAACATGAGATTCAACGAGCAGGGGTAACCACTATCTTCCCAGCTCATTCCAATCACTGTGATCTCCTTCAGCCCACCACCAATGCCCTACTTGCACGCTTCACACTGACCGCCAACAACCTCTACACACTCCAAGTACCTCCATCTTCCACAGAAGCACACTCTACCTCCACCACATCATCGTGCTCCTGCCGTCAGCTCACCGATCCAACCATTCTTTACCACCATCGTCTTGGGCATCCCAACTTCCGCATGCTCTCCGAGCTTGCGTCTAAGAAGTTGCTTCTTCACCTGCCCGACACACTTCCTCCACCCTCCACTTCTCCCGCTCCTCCATGCTTGGACTGCGCGCAAAGCAAACTACGCCAGTTGCCTCACCCTTCCTCGCCCTCTGCTGCAGCCGCCCCGCTTGACCTCGTCCACATGGACGTCTGGGGCCCAGCTCCAGTCCGCTCTCGTGGCGGGCACTCTTACTTCCTAGTGCTCGTTGACGATCACTCTCGCTATGCCTCCGTCCACCTCCTCTCCTCCAAAGCAGCTGTTCCAGATGTCGTCATCGCATGGCTTCGACAAGCCCAAAATCATTTCCGCACTTCAGTCAAGTGCCTCCATTCCGATGGCGGTGGCGAATTTCGAAACCATTCCCTTCAAGCGTTCTGTGCCTCCCAAGGCATTCGCCAGACCTTCACCCTTCCCCACAGTCCGCAGCAGAATGGCATTGCCGAAAGTCGCAATCGCACTCTCGTGCAAATCGCTCGCTGTCTTCTCACTCACGCTGGTGCACCACCTTCCCTTTGGGGTTACGCCCTCCTTCATGCCACGCTGCTGTACAACCTTCACCCTCACCCTCTTCGGCCTGCCATCACTCCCGCTGAACTGTGGACCGGCACCAAGCCCAGTGCACGTCCTCTCCGCGTATGGGGGTGTACAGCTTATGTCCTCCTCAACCCTCAGGAACGTCGCACCCACGGCGGCAAATTTGCACCCAAAGCTCAACCCTGTGTCTACCTCGGCCACAACCTGGACTCTCCCGATTACCTTTTCCTCAATCTCTCCACCAATCAGCTCATTCGTAGCCGCGATGTCGCCTTTGACGAGAGTCGCCCTTTTTACCTCTCTTCACCACCCCCCACCGCTCCACCTTCGCTTGTGTGGGCTGATTTCGATACTTCACCCACCCCACCTCCTCCCTCTGCCGCTCCTGCGGCCCCCTCACTCTCACCTTCCCCATCTCCTTCCACTCTCTCTCACCCCTCTTCGCCCACTGGCTCAGTTGCCCGTTCACCTCCGCCCGCGCCTGCACTTCCCCCTGCACCCGCTCCTGCAGCTGCCCCTCCACCTCCCTCTCCTTCTGTGGCTCCCCCTGCCCCCGCGCCTCCCTCCCCGCCTTCACCTCCGCTTCCGCCTCCAACCTCCACCTCTCCTCCCGACTCGCCCATCACCTATCGTCGCCGTCGCCACGGACGCTCTTATGTCGATGTCCCACCTGCTCCCCCGCCACCTCCCTCCTCTCCTGTCCCTATTGCTCACCGCACCCGCTCTCATGGTCCCGCTCCGCCTCTCGCCCTCTCTGTTCGCATCTCCCTCAATCCGCCTCCTCCTGCCGGGGGTGCATCCATGCCTGGCCTCTTGGAGGATAGGCATGAGGAGCTGATTGAGATCAATGCTGCCATCCGTCAGCTCTGCCATCTCTTCCCCGACCTTGCCGACGCTCCAACTCTTAACTTCTCGGAAAATCCATCCATCCCGACCCCGAACTCATATGATGAAGCCATCTCTGGACCACACTCCCCCCAGTGGCTCGCAGCCATGATCGCGGAGTGTGAAGCATTCATTCGCAACAACTCTTTCACGGACGTCTCCCCTCCGCGAGGAGTTAACATTGTCCGTGGCAAATGGGTTTTTCGCGTCAAGCAACTGCCTGGCGAACTCCCAGTCTTCAAGGCGCGATACTGTGCAAAAGGCTTCACGCAGAAGAAGGGCCTGGACTTCTTCGACACATTCTCTCCGACAGCCAAACTGCCCACACTTCGGACCCTGCTGGACATCGCTGCTCGATGCAACTTTGACGTTCACTCCATGGACGTCTCTGCTGCATTTCTCCAAGGGGATCTCCCCGAGGACATCTACATGGAACGTCCTCAAGGATTTCCCTTACCCTTTCCACCCGGCACGGTCTGGAAGCTGAATCGACCAGTCTACGGGTTGAAGCAGGCTCCTCGGGAATGGCACAAGAAGCTGAAGGCAACCCTCGAGTCACTCGACTTCCACCCCTCCTCAGCCGATCCGAGTCTCTTCATTCGCAAGAACGACAACCCGTTCTTCATCCTTGTCTACGTTGACGACATGATTCTCGTCTCCAAGGACTCCGATCAGCTGGCAGCTGTTAAGCAAGCTCTTGGGGACGCTCTCGCCATGAAGGACCTCGGTGAACTCAAGAACTACCTTGGGATGGAAATCTCGCGGGATCGCGAAGCTCGAACCATCACTCTCTCTCAAGAGTTCTATGTGAACAACGTCCTCAAGCGTTTTGCCATGGACAACGCCAAGCCAGTGGCCACTCCCCTTCCCTTGCAGCATGATCTGACCACTCCATCAGTTCCATCGCCTGAGCCTTGTGATGAGGCATACCCCGAGCTCGTCGGATCACTCATGTATGCGATGATGTGCACAAGGCCCGACCTCGCCTACCCCATCAGTGTGCTCTCGCGTTACGTTGCTGCCGGTCGATACACCAATCGCCACTGGTCGGCTGCTAAGCGCGTCCTTCGCTACCTCCAAGCCACCAAGGACTACGTCCTCACTCTCGGTGGCACGACCCCTCCTCACCTCGAGGGATACAGCGACTCCTCATGGGCTGATGATCAAGCTGACCGCCGCTCTTCCCAAGGCTATTGCTTCACCCTTGGCAGTGGTGTCATCAGCTGGCGATCTACACGCTCATCATCCGTCTCATTGTCATCTTGCGAAGCTGAGTTATACGCAGGCACCATGGCAGCCCAAGAAGCTCGATGGCTTACCTACCTCATGGCTGAGCTCGGGTATCCTTAGCAGACCCCGACTCTGTGGTGTGATAACGAGAGCACTATCCACCTCACCAAAGATCCTGTCTTCCACCAACGAACCAAGCACATCGAATTGAGACACTTCTTCATGCGCGAGCTCGTCCAGCGAGGGCAGTTGTGCGTCAAGCATATTTCCTCTGACTGCAACCTCGCCGACTTGTTTACGAAGGCTCTTGGACGCCGTGATCACTATCGTCTCCTCCGTACCATGGGACTTGGCGTCCCTACGGCTTCCGACGTTGCAGCCTAGGGGGTGTGTTAGAGATAGGCTGCAATTCGGTTGGCACAATTTTGTGTGTTGACACTTTCTTGGTTTTAGGGATACTCATATTTGTTAGGTTGGGTGTAGCTATGTTTTCATCCCCAACCTATCCCAACCCAATCCATCCCAAATCCCCACGATTTGGGAGGATTCCCTTGGGATTCCCTCCGATTCTCCCTTATCCCTTCCCATCCTCTCCGATGCTCGGTACTTAAGGATGTATGCTCTTGCTCATTTCAATCAATCAAGTTCTCAGTTTCTGATAGGTGCTTGGGCGATCTTGGGTGCTTGGGCGATCTTGGGTGGTTGGGCCATCTTGGGTGGTTGGGCGATCTTGGTAGGATGGGCGATCTTGGGTGGTTGGGCGACCTTGGGTGCTTGGACGATCTTGGGTGGTTGGGAGATCTTGGGTGGTTCGGCGATCTTGAATGGTTGGGCGATCTTGGGGGGTTGGGCGATCTTGGGTGGGTGCTTGGGCAACCATGGGTGGTTGGGCGACCTTGGGTGGTTGGGCGATCTTGGGTGGTTGGGCGATCTTGGGTGGTTGGGCGACCTTGGGTGCTTGGGCGATCTTGGGTGCTTGGGCGATCTTGGGCGGTTGGGCGATCTTGGGCGGTTGGGCGATCTTGGGTGGTTGGGCCATCTTGGGTGCTTGGGCGATCTTGGGTGGTTGGTCAATCTTGGGAGGTTGGGCGATCTTGGGTGCTTGGGCGATCTTGCGTGGTTGGGCGATCTTGGGTGGTTGGGCGAGCTTGGGTGCTTGGACGATCTTGGGTGCTGGGGCGATCTTGGGTGGCTGGGCGATCTTGGGTGGCTGGGCGATCATGGGTGGTTGGGCGATCTTGTGTGCTTGGGTGATCTTGGGTGCTTGGACAATCTTGGGTGGTTGGGTGGTTGGGCGATCTTGGGTGGTTGGGCAACCTTGGGTGCTTGGTCGATCTTGGTTTGTTGGCGATCTTGGGTGGTTGGGTGATCTTGGGTGGTTGGGCGGTCGTGGGTGGTTGGGCGACCTTGGGTGCTTGGAGGATCTAAGGTGGTTGGCCGATCTTGGGTGCTTGGGGGATCTTAGGTGGTTGGGCGATTTTGGGTGCATGGACGACTTGGGTGATTGGGAGATCTTGGGTGGTTGGGCGATCTTGGGTGGCTGGGCAATCTTGGTTGGTCGGGCGATCTAACGAGCTTGGGCGATCTTATGTGGTTGGGCGATCTTGGGTGGTTGGGTGGTCTTGGGTGGTTGGGCAACCTTGGGTGCTTGGACGAACTTGGGTGGTTCGGCGATCTTGAGTGGTTGTGCAATCTTGGGTGCTTTGGAGATCTTGCGTGGTTGGGTGATCTTGGGTGGTTGGGCGATCTTGGGTGGTTGGGCGATCTGGGGTGCTTGGGCGATCTTGGGTGCTTGGGCGATCTTGGGTGCTTGGGCGATCTTCGGTGGCTGGGCGATCTCGGGTGGCTGGGCGATCTTGGGTGGCTGGGCGATCTTGTGTGCTTGGACGATCTTGGGTGGTTTGGCGATCTTGGGTGGTTGGGCGATCTTGGGTGGTTGGGCGATCTTGGGGGGGGGCTTGGGTGATCATGAGTGGTTGGGTGATCTTTGGTGGTTGGGCGATCTTGGGTGGTTGGGCGATCTTGGGTGGTTGGGCGATGTTGGGTGGTTGGGCGATCTTGGGTGGTTGGGCGATCTTGGGAGCTTGGGCGAAGTTTGGTGGTTGGGCGATCCTGGGTGGTTGGGGGGTCTTGGGAGGTTGGGCGACCTTGGGTGCTTGGACGATCTTGGGTGGTTGGGAGATCTTGGGTGGTTGGACGATCTTGAATGGTTGGGTGATCTTTGGGGGTTGGGCGATCTTGGGTGGGTGCTTGGGCAACCTTGGGTGGTTGGGCGACCTTGGGTGGTTGGGCGATCTTTTATGGTTGGGCGATCTTGGGGGCTTGGGCGATCTTGTGTGGGTGCTTGGGCGATCTTGGGTGGTTGGGCGATCTTGGGTGGTTGGGCGATCTTTGGTGGTTGGGCGATCTTGGGTGGTTGGGCGATCTTTGGTGGTTTGGCGATCTTGGGTGGTTGGGTGATCTTGGGTGGTTGGGCAATCTTGGGTGGTTGGGCGATGTTGGGTGCTTGGGCGATCTTGCGTTGTTGTGCGTTCTTGGGTGGTTGGGCGATCTTGGGTGGTTAGGCGATCTTGGGTGCTTGGGCGATCTTGGGTGCTTGGGCGCTCTTGGGTGGTTGGGCGATCTTGGGTGCTTGGGCGCTCTTGGGTGGTTGGACGATCTTGGGTGGTTGGGCGATCTTGGGTGGTTGGGCGATCTTGGGTGGTTGGGCGCTCTTGGGTGGTTGGGTGATCTTGGGTGGTTGGGCGATCTTGGGTGTTCGGGCGATCTTGGGTGCTTGGGCGATTTTGGGTGCTTGGGCGATCTTGGGAGGTTGGGCGAACTTGGGCGGTTCGGCGATCTTGGGTGTTGAGCGATCTTGGGCTGTTGGGCGATCTTGGGTGGTTGGGCGATATTTTGCGAGCTTGGGCGATCTTGGGTGGTTGGGCGATCTTGCGTGGTGCAGAGTTCTCTGCTATAACGGGAGCTTCTGCGGAAGTGCCTTACGTAGAAAGAGCTCTCTAGCTCTATGGTTCTCTAAGGAGAAAATTGTCTTCATAATTGTGTGTTTCATTAAGTAGCTTGAGAAAGCTTGGGCACACAAATTCACTAGAATCAAGATTAACGAAGTATAGTACACAAGGCAAAACACTAGTACTACCTCATTGATCCTCATTGAACAAGGAAAGAACGTTCGCATAACTACTCTAAACTGCGCTTAGCCAAGTCAGCAATGACAGGTGAAAATTACAGCACATGCTTAGTTGGTAATAAACCCACTTAGAAGTAGTTGTTTTAACAGTTTCATATATGAAACTGTCAGATGTTACGCCTATTTCCCCAGTTACCAAATGTGCGTCACGTGTTCAATTTCTCAATGTCGCATGTAGATTTTGCCGTTTTCGGTCCAGAGCGGTTCTATGGTTAACTTACAAAATCGCAAATTTCTCGCGATTTCGGAACGTTACCTTCATCTTGCGTGGTTGGGCGATCTTGGGTGGTTGGGCGATCTTGGGTGCTTGGGCGATCTTGCGTTGTTGGGCGATCTTGGGTGGATGCTTGGGCGATCCTGGGTGGATGGGCGATCTTGGGTGCTTGGGCTATCTTGGGTGGTTGGGCGATCTTGGGTGGTTGGGCGATCTTGGGTGCTTGGGCGATCTTGGGTGGGGGCTTGTGCATCTTGAGTGGTTGCGCGATCTTTGGTGGTTGGGCGATCTTGGGTGGTTGGGCGATCTTGGGTGGTTGGGCGATGTTGGGTGGTTGGGCGATCTTGGGTGGTTGGGCGATCTTGGGTGCTTGGGCGATCTTGCATTGTTGGGCGATCCTCGGTGGGTGCTTGGGCGATCCTGGGTGGTTGGGCGATCTTGGGTGGTTGGGCAATCTTGGGTGGTGGGCGATCTTGGGTGCTTGGGTGATCTTGCGTTGTTGGGCGATCTTGGGTGGATGCTTGGGCGATCCTGGGTGGATGGGCGATCTTGGGTGCTTGGGCTATCTTGGGTGGTTGGGCGATCTTGGGTGGTTGGGCGATCTTGGGTGGTTGGGCGATCTTGGGAGGTTGGGCGATCTTGGAAGGTTGGGCGATCTTGGGAGCTTTGGCGATCTTGGGTGCTTGTGCCATCTT